ACGCGGCCCGCTCCCGGCGCGCCCCGCTCGCCATACCCTCCTCCTACCCTTCCCCAGCAGGCCCCTCCAGGTCTGGGCAGCCCCGGGGTCCCCCGCGTGCAGGGCGGCCCCTGCCACATCCTGCCGCCTGCGCGGGCCCGACCCGGCCGTCCTGGTGAGCCTGGTCTGCCCAGGCCCGAGCTGAGCCTGGAGGCGCAGTGTCAACAGTCGCTTCCTGCGCCCTGCACCGGCCGGGTCTCCCAGCCCCCAGGCCCTGTTCTGGATGAGAGCAGGGTGGGCACTGTGGGCTTCCCTCTAGGTGGCTGCCTGGGACGCATCCAGGCACGGCCTGTGGAGGGGGTTTAACCAGGACACCCCTTTGCAGGGAGCGGGTCACCTGGCCCCAGTCCAGCCAGCCGCCCCTACAGCCTCCCACCCCATTGGGCCAGTGCAGGGAGGCTGGAGGTGGCGCGGGAGTGCCTTGGGCAGGGTCCTGGCTTCCGGCCAGGCTCAGAGACAAGGCTCAGGGAATGAGGCCCCCGGAGAAGCTCTGCCCCGGGGCGATGTAAAAGAACCCTGTTACCCTGCCGCCCACACCCTGATTGCTAGGGTCCCTGGTTGGCACTCCGGTGACCTCCATCGAGTTTCTTCTTCAGTATCAGCCTTCCAACAAAACCCAGCAAAGCCCACTCCGGGCTTCCTCCAGGGCCCTTGCAGCTGGCCTTCCCGGACCTGACTTGAAGCATCTCCTTGCTGCCCACTCCCTCCATGCCCCCACCCCGGCTTTGAGCCTGGCCCGCCAGACTGGGAAACACCGCCCGACAGAGGCCAGTCACCGCGTGCCCTGCTTTTTCTCCGGAGCCTGGCACAGAGCAGGCACTTAGAAAACAGCTGTCGCCTGAGTGAGAGGGATTTCTGCGACACCCTCGGCTCTCCCCGCACACGAGTCCACGCTAATTGGGTCCTACTCTCTTCAAAAGATGTCACAGCAGCTGGACGTGCTCACACGTCTGTAAAGGGCACCCGTGGCTGTGAAGACCCAGCCGTCGCTGCTTACACATGCACCGCAGACAGGCGCGTGGGCCGAGACAGCCGGTGTGGGGGTGCCTAGAGCACCGGGTGTGGACAGGCAGGGAGGCCCGGGGAAGTCCGACGCAGCACGCATCCAGGGGCTCTGGAACCCGTGGGGACAGGGAGCGGTACTGGCCTGGCCTGCACAGGTTCACTCCACAGACCTCGGCAGGCTGGGGAGGGGTCCAGGAAGGCTCTCAGACGCCACTGTGTGCGGGAAACTGGGGCCGGCATCTGGGACTTTCTCCCTTTCCAAGGCTGTCATGTGTAAGACTAGCCGCGCGACCCCGACGACCCCGAGAAAGGATGAACACAGTGATAAAGTTCACCCAGCACTTACTGAGCTCTTCGGCAAAAAGCAACAGAGAATGTGAGGTGCTTGTTAGAAGGGAATTTTCGCGACTCTGGTTTTAAGCCACCCCTGAATCGAAGAAATCCAAACTAAACAGAACACTAAGGAAATATTCCACTTCACATTCCTGCCAATTTCCTCAAGATGCAGTTGTGACAGATACAAATGTGTTCCAGAAAGTACTTTCCCCTTTTCCCTGCAGACTTCACAGACTTTAACATAAATAAGACGGGCAGTGCTTTGTTTAGACAAATTTTTATGAAGGTATTAATCCACAGCTTAGTATATATTTCACTGTCAATGAAAAATCCACCTCTATTTAATTTTCCTTTTAAAATGGAAGTTTAAAATAAATTCCCAGGTCTTTAATGCAACCCAAGAAGCAACTTATGTTTTTGATAACTTGAGACCCATCCCAAGCTCGCCTGGGTATTCAGACTTAACTTAGAAGTTGAGGAGAAGCTTAGACTTCTGGAAGAAATCAGAGTAAGGTTCAGGACTTATTAGGAAGTTTGTTGAAAAGGTTCACATTCTGGGAGTTTCTGAAATCACACGTACATTGCTTTAGGTATCTGAATGTGCATTTGTGTGTCCACACCATATAAAGTCTGCTAAGGCCTGTTCCAACTCTGCTGGCCCCCAGCTTCCAGATCCCACCATATCTGATAGGAGAAACAAACACTCATTTCCTTGCCAACTTGTTTCCTGCTTTCTGGAGTTTTCTTTCATTCACTCACTCATTCAACAAAGGTTTATGGAACATCAGTTCTGAATAGGTCCTCCGGGCCTTGGGGATACAATGGTGGGTGGGTATGTTTGTATATGCATGTGTGTGCATGGCTGGGAGGGCTGGAGCGGGGCTAGGGACAAATAGCAATAAAATCCAGAAATACAATCATGGGAAAAGACTGAGTTAGGTTGAGTCCTGGAGCTGGGTCTTGAGGAATGGGTTGAAGTAGGCCTGGAAGTCTGACCCAGACCAAGGGATCGTTCATGCAAAAGCCTGGAACGGGAAAGGCCACAGTCCGTCCTGGCACCCGTGGAAGCCCGTGCAACTGGACATAAAGTGTGCACAAGGTGAACACTGAGCCACAGGGCCTGCCCTTGCTCTTGTGGGCAACTGAGAGCCAGTGGAAGCGTCTCAGTCAGCACTGAGGTGACAGCAAGGCCAGCCTGAGCCGGCAGCCGGAGGCCGACAGAGGCCCTGGATGAAGCGTGGGTATGGAGCCCTGCTGGACATCAGACATGCCTGTGTGATTTGCACCAGCCGTTCCCTGAAGGAACGGCTTGAAAAGTACATTTCTCTATGAAACTGAAATGATTATGAAAAAGTTGAAAAACTAGTAGGCTATTGTAAACCCTTCACCGGTACTCACACACACATCTACATATACACAGACGGGTGTGTGTGTGTGTGTGTGTGTGCATATTTTTTCCTGCACCATTTAAAGTAAGTTTCACACATGTGTCCCCAGAACCTCAGTGTGCCTCTTAGAACAAGGAGCCCAGCCCATGTAACCACAGTATGTAACACAGCCATGGAATTCAACACTGACTCCGCACTGTGTTCTAACACACGGTCCACACTGAGCTTTCCTTAAGTGTCCCCAAATGTCCTTCATGGCTTTTTCTTTTCAAATCCAGACTCCGAGTAAGAATTGCCGTGACACCTCTCCATTCTCCTCCATTCCCACACAGGCCCCGCTCTCCTGGTCCTGGCATAGCTGCAGGCCTCACAGTCTGGATTCAGAGGGTCGTTTCTCCGCAATTCGACTTGGATGAAACATTCTTGGCAAGACTACATGCCGTGTTTCCCTCGCACCTCATCCATCCATCCTCACCATCCCTGCCCACAGTGCACTCGTGACGACAGACATCAGGTCCAAGAAGCTCCCTCCTTCCCGTCCTGCGAGTGCGTCCACCACTGGCTCCCGGCACTGGGTCTGAGTGCCGGGGACGGGGTGGACGCATAGGCCCGCGTTTGTGCTCCACGGCAGGGTTTGCTGTTCACTCCTCTTGCATCTCCTTTTCCAAATACGTGCACCATCTATACAATTCCAAAGTCAAAACCATAAAACAGAAATGCCCAGAGACACTGCCCGGCCCGGGACCTTGCCAGCTCTCTCCACTCACCCCTCAGAGTGAAGCTTTCCATCCTCACAGGTAACTATGCCCATAGGTAACCTTGGCCTTTCCTGCTTAGCTTTGAAAAACAAAAGCAGAGCACGTATTCACGGCCAGACAGAGGGTGACACAGCGTGCACTTCCTCACGCCTGGCCCGCCATGGTCGCCTCTGTGGGAAGTGCGTGTCCATTTTCTGGTATCAGTAGGAATGCCAATAAAAGGTCCTGGCAGAACCGTGTAGTAACAACAGAGTCCTTCTCACTTCTGTTTTTAGGATTCTCAATAAAACAGGGCCGAACTGGCTGCTCTCTGGGGTTCCTGGCCACCCCACAACCTAACTGATCCCCCTAGGAAGGGAGTGTAAGGAAGACAGCAGTGTCTTGGGAACTCAATTCCTACTAATTTCTGAGTACCAACAAAATGGTTCTTATAGTTGTAAAAGTTTTCAAGGACATTTTAAAGACCTGGAGCCTTGGGACCAGGAGGTTACAGGAAGGAAAAGAGAAATAATTAACAGACCAAATGTGGCCCTACATTCCTTTAGGCAAAACTCAACATATGAAAACGAAGACATGTAGCAAACCAAAGCTGGGGGAGGGGACACGTTTATTTTGATCAAGCAATCTTTTCCTTAGGAAAACCTACACTTCCAGGGTTTTTAAAAACGGCATGTTTC